AATACACCCCTTTCCTTCACAATAAAGACACCAATTCACATATACTCTTTAGCTCAGTTTAGATTAGTGTTTTCTTTATATTTTCTATCATGTTTAGTCTCCAAATGAGGAGCTAAACTCTTCCATCTTGGTTTTGCTACTTTGAAGCTTAATGAATTTGTAAGTTGTGAGTTATTTTCTTTAATCTTCTTCCTTGAATATTAATTCTCCCTTTAAATACTATTTCTATATCAATGTTGGGGAGTGTTACTAAGATGACAATTAGTTAACATCTTGACATTAGTTATAGTAATAGCTATTTCTTCCTCTATGTTAATATTGAGGAGTGTTACTAAAATGACAATTAGTTAACATCTTGATATTAACTATAGTAGGATTCATCTTCTTTAATATTCTTCCTTGAGTATTAATTAATTCCTATTCATATTTCATATTAATATTTTGAACATTACTTAAAGGATCAACTAGTTTTGTCTCATATATTAATTATTACTAGAATCGGTCGGTTAATACGCTTGTTATTAATTGGGTCCTTTCACGGTAGTAAACTTAGGTTGTTAATGCATGCTTCTCATGGTTAATAAGCCAAGGGGAATTAATTATATTGATTAAACCAATAAACCGCTTGTGTTGAGGTTATCAATCTCAATCGTTTTCATCTTGATTTTATTGCTACTATCAAGTTAATATACGGCGCTTGTTCTATATTGACTCGGTAGTAAGTTTTATTAATGAACGCGTCTCGTTATTAATAACTACCCTCGATGAACTGGATATACTCCTCGATTGAGTATTCGAGAGGAAGATAGTTAAAGATATAACCGGGATCGACGAACATTTCATTAAGTGGATAAAAGCAAAGCCAAGTCTTCTTCTCATTAATTAAACTCATTTAAGTCATTCATCTTAGTGTTAATTAAATCAAATCAAATCTAAAACCCCCCCTTTGTTACTAGTTAATTAAAAAGAGAAATATTCCTTTCCCTGTGGATACGAACCTTACTTCGCTATACTACGTATAATTGTTGTATTGATATTTATTTTGACGGCACACCACGACAAAGTGCACGTCAGTTAGGGTGTTCAAAACTTTCAAAGAAAGGAACTGTTTATTCTTTGTCATTCACCATTCGCCACCGCCTTCACAAGTCCTTCTGATCATTAGCTAGTTTATTAGTGTATGTTGTCACTACTTTGAGAATGTTGTGAATAATTCGTCATTAATGTTAGCTAGAGTACAAAGATGTAGTTTAGGGAAGAATTTTCTTGGTTTAGTCTGTCTGTTCTATGAATATCCCTTTAACTACTTATGCATGCTAATAATTTTAAATTCCGTGTGGTGATTATCGTAAGTCTCGTTGTTCAAGTTTGCTTGAGGACAAGCAAAAGCTTAAGTGTAGGGGAATCTGATAAGTTCGTATTTCAACATGCATTTGATGCGTGTTGGGATTGGATTTTGATGGTTTTCCCAGATTTAAGGTGTCACAAGTCTCAATTTTTAGCTCAAGTCATATTTTACTGGGCGTTGGTTCGAGTTTTGTATTTTTGGAGTCAAAATCAGGGAATTTAAGCCTGACACCAGCGCTTGAGAAGAAATCGGGACAGGTCAAGATGCATTCAAGAGAAAATTGAGATCTTTGGAGGTTCACGATTAAGATTTGATGATAAAAGAGCTCTAGGATTGGCTACGGGATCAAAAGAAGACAAATAGAGCTTGAAAACGGCAATCAGGATGATGTTATGTCAATCGTTCAAGCATATCGTTTTGTAGAAACATCCAACGTACACGATTCAAGTTCCATATGAAAGCCAACTTCAAGGGCTACAAATCATATGAAGACACCATTGCGAAAATCTGAGAAAAGCAAGGTGAAAACAGACGAGAAAGTCAGATATTCGTTGTTGAGATTTCAGAATGCGACCTTCCACCATGTTATTCATATCTTTTGATTGGATGATTCAAATCCAGTTTTGCAAGTTTTGGTGGATAGAGGACTTCATTATAATCTACAACTTATATGAAAGAAGCATCATCAAATTCGGAAGAGAACGAACCACGCCGTGCGCCCGAAGTACACACGTCGTGCGCGGAAGAAGAAAATCACGGGATAGCTACTGCCGGTCAGGCACGCCGTGCGTGCCAGGAAGGCACGCCATGCCTGCCCCCGGGATGCGCGTTTCTTGCTCCGGACGCACGGTGTGCGTAGGTGCCGTGCGTGCGCTCCCGGTGTCCTATTTTGGCCAGAATTGCTCCGTTTTTTCTATTTAAACAGCCTGTAAACCCCCGTTTTCAAGAGGGAGCTTAGAGAGAGGCCTAGGGACAAATTTCTACGTATTTTTTGGCTTTGTTCTTCAAGACTCTGGGATTATTTGTAAGTTCCATCTTTTTAATTAATGACAATTAATTTTTTCAACTCAAATATATTGGTAATTCAATTATGAATTGTGAGTAGTTTTAATTAGGGATTTGAGATTGATGAAGGGATTAATCATGATGTATGGCTAGTTTCATGATGGATTAATTGCATGAATCTTTATTTAATTTGTGTATGAATGATTTAATTGATATCTCTTGTAACCTAGAACGGCCGTTAGAAAGAACCCCTTAGTTTAGTTTCTTTATTCGCATTTTAATTTTTCTCTTCAATCAAATCTTGCACAATTGCATTTTATTTATTTATTTTAATCACTGAATTTAGTTAATTCTTGATTCTCTTTTTACGTCCCTGTGGAGACATACTTGTACTTACACCTTATACTGCTACATATTTTTGAGTGCGAGAAAACTCACATCATTGGACGACTAGTAAATTGGTTGTATGTATTGTATAACATAACCTATATGCTTTAAATTATCAAGTTTGTCTCTAGATGAATCATTGTTTTTATAGGTTTAGTTTATGTTCACCAACTATATTTTCTATTGATTTTGTGACAAGGACGACCTAGATTGAAAGAAACTCAATTTATGAAAATTAATAACTCAATTTTGAAGAAAATCTCTGTACACCTCCAATAACTCAATTTTGAAGAAACTCGAAATCAAAGATTTTAGAGGACATGTTCTCCAATCTCCATACAAGTAAAATTCACATAATCACCTACGTTGATGATCCCCATTCAATTTTTTCTAGTGTATTTACTTGATTTAATCAAATAATTATATATCCAAATTTCAATTTTATATATGCTATTGAGGATGTTTTTATTTGGACGGCAATTTGCTGGTCTGGTCTGTTTAAGTCTGTTCTGGTCTATTTAAGTCTGGTCTGAATTGGTCGGTCTGGTAAACGTGTGATCTCTGTGTATTTTATAACTACAGAAGTCAAGTCTGATCTGGTCTGGTCTGTTCTGTTTAAGTCTGATCTGCTTTGGGATTGAAAATAGTCCAAGTAAAAATATCTTGAATCCACAATGTCAACTAAAATATTTGCATCTAGACATTGTATTTTCAATTGTGAAGAAAATCTTACTAAAAGCATGTACGTAAAACCATTTAAATTAGAAGATAGATATTGAGCAACATATTTAGTACTCCCTACGTCCCGCAAGATTGTTCCACTTTCCTTTTTGGATGGGTATTTCCAAAAAATTGTCCAGATTTCCCTTTTTAGAAAGTTTTGTGTGGCTAAAATTTTCACTTTATTCTGCATGTGGATAGTTTACGTTTTTACATTGGTGATGCTTAAATAAATTAATGTTCACCAAAGTTAACTCTAGATCTTTCGAGTACGGAAGGAAACAAGTTTGATTGTGTGGGAGATTTCTGATCCTATTGCTAATTTGCAATAAGTAAATCTCTCGAGTTTTCTCTTTAATTACAAAAAGGATGCCTAATATTTTATACGGAGTACTATGTATATATAACAAGCTAAAGGGCTAGTAATCTAGTATTGTTCATCAAGGTGGTAGTGTTCTAGTTCTAGTGATAAAATTCCGGCCCTTGTATAGGTATTCATGTATTCATGGCCGCCGTTTATGAACTTCCCAAAGCAATGCATGGGAATATGTAAAGACGTGATGTCGTGATATACTTTATACTTATAATAACTAAACATACATAGAAATATGTAAAGACAAATAAAATAAAAAAGCAACGTTCTTCTTCACACACACACATATACGGAGTATATAATATCCGTGGATATACAATTAGAATTAGATTTAAGTATTCAACCGCCACAGCTAGCAGTTTCATTAATCGGTGCGTACTAGTTAATTGAAGTATTTTTATCTATCTTCTTTATGTGTAATAAAGTAATCATTTGTTGTGTATTCTATATAATATTTACCCAATAAACTTCCGTTATGGATATGATGTTTCCGATCCGTATGTATGTGTAGTTGTAGACAATATATGTAACGTATGGATATATATATGGTAAACTATGATTTTTTTTGGTAATATAACAGATCAATGGAAAACAAACTTCCAAGATTTTTCAAGGTCTTGATGCCTGGCTTTCGTACTAGACTGGTATGTATGTTACGTTATTTCCCACCCTTTGTATTCTTTTTAATTTCTGACCTCTTTATTTATGTTTAATACGTAGTACGTAGTATGGATATTTAAAAAATAAGACTAAGTTTTTATGGCCAAATCGAACATCTTTAGTTGGATTACAACAACAAAACAATATAACTTTTCAAAGTAAGAGTGAATTAGTACAATAGCACTCCGTAATATTTTTGGGAAGAAAACAGTGAAATTAAACTTTGGATGAAATCTGACATGAAGCTATAAAACAATATACGCTTTTCAAAGCAAGAGTGAATTGTTGTCAAAAAAATGTAAGAGTGAATTAGTAACAATGAAATTAAACTTCGATGGATCGGAAATCTGAGTGTGAGGTACTCCGATCCTTGTATGAAACATGTTAGGATAGAACCTCAAGTCTTAACAATAGATTACGTTATAAAACCGAAACTGAAAATGCAAAGGGTGTACATATACAGATACTCCCCCCAGCTATATCTAAGGAACTAATGGTTCGAAAAACGGGTAAAGTAGCAACTCTAATTGGCAGAAAAGGAAGGTTCGAAGTTGAAATCAGAAGATGCAAAGAAGGCAACAACAGGCTGTGTTTGAAGAATGGGTGGAAAGAGTTTGTCAAGCAAAACGGGCTGGTTGCCGGAGACTTTGTGGTTTTTAAACATATAAGCCGCCGCCTGGTTTTTAAGGTCAATGTGTTTGATCTCACTTGTTGCGAGAAGGATTCTCATGGCCTGTCAGAAACATACAACAACAGTAAGTCATGTTTGGATACACAATAGTACTAGTATATCTCAAACCATGTGTTTGTATAGCTTATTAATTATGGGCTAAATTCAATACCCCGTAATTCATACAATAATACTTTAGATATGGCTTTGTTGGGATAAATTGTTCAAAATAAGAGTGGTTATTAAACATGGACAAATTAAAGTTGAAAAGTTTTACTACATTTGTCACAAAAAGATTTGCTACATTGATTTTTCTTGGTCAATGACGACAACAATGTTAATTATTGTAATTTTATATAATTTATAAATTTATACTTTTAAAATAATAATAAGGAATATTTTTATACTCCATATAAATTTTATATTCAAAAATAAATTCGTATTAAAAAATATTGTTGGTCAATATTGATTACCACTGACAAAAAGAATCAATTTGGCAAATCTACTTGGAACTGAGGTAGTACTTAATTGTGATTTTTTATTATCAAAATAAGTTTTTAGTCCTCTCAAAACCTTTTAGATTATCTATAATTAAAAAGTCAAGAAATCCTGCTTAAAATGTACAAAGTTATGTTATTATAAAGGAAACGACTTATGCTTTACTCGTAATTCGTTGTGAAAATGAAAGTTTATGGAGAAGGACGTGCCCAAGAACCAAATGGCGATGGAGTGCAACTCCACAAACATGAAAAAGTGACGATGGACAAAAAGAGTAAGTCACATGCTGAATCTATTGGTGACAATTCATTTTTCTAGACTCATTTTTATTTATAATTAGACAAAAGTACTTGTGCGATGCACGAATATATCTAGTCTAGAGTATAATAACAACTCATTTAAAATTATATTTCATATTTTAGTATAATAATAGTTTCGCTTGAGAATATTAACAGAATTTTAAAAAGATGCGTTTCTCCTAACTTCCTAACTTATTTTTTTCCCCTAACTTCCTAAGTCGTCGTTTATCAAGCATGTCTTCATACTTTACCTTTTAAGCTATTCATCGACTGCATTTTATTCAGCTCTTAATGTTTACCCCATGTATGGATAGGAAAGAGAGAGACTAAGGGGGTGAATATATCTTCAAGGGAGCAGTGTCCTCAATTTACAAAGAAAATAAGGCCCTACAATATACGTGCACAAAGCCCAATGATGGTAAATTAAATTAATTATGATCAAATTATGACAACAATATCCCTCTTCCTTTTTAATGTTTCTTAGCTTCAATTCCTACATACTAATTTTTCCATTATTTAGATTGAAAGAATTCCAAAATTGCGAATCAAAGATATACATGTTTTCGTATAGAATCATCATATGAAAATAGGATTTATCCACATCTTGAATAAGAATGTTATAACTTATAATACCTTGATTTTTTTTTAACATTCAACGGGCGGCCGGGCTTTACTATATCTTAAGATAGAAATTTTTTGTTTGTGCAAATATGACTCATGTTTTACTCACATGCAGCAAATCCCTAGAGCATTCTGCGTGGAAAATGGATTTTGTGGTCATAACATATCAATAATTTTGAATGGGACGAGTGGTGAACACCAAGTTAGCTTAACATTTTACGGTGACAAAGGTGGTTACATTAACCATGGTTGGCGTGAATTTGCTACAAGCAACAATCTTAAAATCGGAGACACGTGCATCTTTAAACTTTGTAGTGCAACTCTTCCTTCATCAGATGCCAATATTGTATTTGATGTTGAGGTTCTTCGTGTTCTGACTTAGTTTACATTCGTAGTTTCTTTGTATTTGTAGGGATGCTGATTATGTATAAATGTAACCTTTTTTTATGCAGAGGTCATTATGTTTACCAAAAAAATAGTCTATTCATTGACATTATATTGGACATTGATGAACATATTTGGTCTGTAAACAAGCTATTTATAGGCAACATGTGTAAAACGAGCGGTTGAATCATTTCAACTCACAACAAGGGTGTGAAGGATTCTTTTCGGAATATGATGGAGTATAGTAATATCGAAATTGGGAAGTTGGAGCTTAATGAGAATAAATAACACACAGTAGTTCATGGTTTATATTGGCTAACGTGGCAGGATGGATATGATCATTTAGCGTTTTAGCCATATTTTCTCTTGACTTTTTTTTGACAAAAATCAAATCAACTTAGATTAATGAAATCATGGTTCAGAGAAGAAACGATACAATCAGGAGGAAAATTATGCCAAACATAGCGACCAAACATAGAACCCGCAACCTTAGCCAAATCATGGGCTACTCGGTTTGCTGACCGCCTCACATGAGCAAAATTAATGCCAGAAATATTAGCTGATAGATCTCTAATATCATCAACAATAATCCCAAAAGTCGAGTCATTTGATTCTTCGTTGATATAACAAGTTTTGACTTTATTTGAAAGCTACATTTTAGACATTAGAAAGGGCGAAACTTGTGAGGATCATCTCCTAGCAAAAGAGCTCTAAAAATGGATTCACAAATAGCAACATCATAGACAAGGCAATGTCCTCCATCAGGGACTTCATAGTATCGGATCCAGGGCAGTCTTCTCGATACATATCTCTGTAATTCCACGTTTATGAATTTGTCTTGGCAACCCTGCCATATCTGCATCCAACCTTTCTTTTCTGGAAATGGATCTTTCATCTCCAATGGATCAAAGTCCCATTTACTAAATGATGCACGGAAATCCGAGCTCAAATTATTGAACACGCTTTTGTCCTTCAGCTTTTCCTACGAAAAATTATATTCATACCATTATGTTCGTGAAAAACTATATATCAACCATGGAAATAGTTATTACCAAAAAAAAAAAAAAAAAAACCATGGAAATATTTTAAAATAGTACATTTCTAATTCAAAAACTATTTGAAAACTCCTCAAATAGTTATTTACTTATTTTTATATCAAAAGACAATGTTTCTCATTTCACGTTTCCCCGTGTTTTGCATGTTTCGGTGCACCAAATAAATGAAAATTAAGAATAAATAAGGTAACATTTCCTAATGTAAAATTTCCAAGCATTCTATTTTCAAGCGTACAACTAATGAAGACATAACAATTTATAAATGGAAGATTTTATTATACCCTTAAGGTACCTTACATTTGTCCACATGGGTCAATCACAATATTGTGGTTGAATTATTTAAATATAAATTTGAAATAATATAATGATTTGGACCAATTAAATAAATGGTAGACACGATATTCCATTTTTTAAATGGATATGGGATTTGTCACCGAAAAATAAATATATCATATATGTTCGACGGTTTTTCTTCCAAAATAAGGGGACGAGTTGCTCTAAGACTTTTCAACCTAAAAGGCTAAAACCAGAGCAAACTTATATAGGTGACACGACACTAGATTTTGTTTTTTGTAACAGACAACACTAGATTTAATCACTTATATTAGTTGGATCAAATTAGTAACACATAATATCATAACTAAATAAATCAGATTACCAAATTCAAATAAAGTAATAAACCAATGATTGTACGTGGACTTATTTGCCCCTTTTCTGTAAACTAAATCCAAATCAAGTAGGGGCGATACAGAGACATGGAATGGAAAAAGTGCAAGATGATTACCATAGTGGGGGAATGATGGCTATTAGGAGCATTCTTAATAAGATAAGTCTGATAAGGCGAAAAATGATGTTGTCAAACGGCCTCTTAACTTTTGGAGAACTAAGCAACTCCAATACACGTAGGCTATGTTTGGACTGACAAGCTGAAAAGACCTTTCTTTAACCTTTTTAGTAACTGTTAGCTTTTTGGAGCTAAAAAGCTTACAGATGGAAAAGACCGTAGCTGTTTCATGAAAGCTATCTGTTTTAAATAGCCATGTTTGGCAAAACTAACTGTTGTAAGTAGCTGAAATTATAAAATTACAATTAAGGGTATGATCAAATATTATTAATTAAAGAGAAAATAGCATACATGCATATAGCTAATTTCAATTCAAAGAAAATACGAAAGAGAACAAGGACTCCAACATGCGCATAGACCAATTCACATGACCGACCTCTTTAACAGAACAAAAAAATCGGAAAACCCCAATTAAAATATCAAATAAAGCAAAGGGAAAACACATTCAATATCAAAACAGAATTTTCACACAATGTCATGGCAATGAAAAACACAAAAGAATCCCAACAAAAACAATCAAAGCAGACAAATAAACAGATTAATACATACAATCGTTTTTTTAGATTTATGTCAATGGTAGAATCAAGAAGTTTATTCGAGGTCAAAATTATAGTACAACATACTCAAATTTATAACAACGTAAACATACGAAATTATACTAAATTACGTAATTTAAAAATACTAATTTTTAAATTTATACCAAATTTTATACACAGTACTAATTTACATAATTTAACAACGTAAACATACTTTGGAAATTTATAGCCGCAGAACAGAGTATAACGTTAACTCGAATTTATCAAATTTATTAGTAAAATTCTTCTCTGATGCATAGTTCTAATTACTCGACAGGAAGCTTAAACAGAGTATAAAGTTTACTCGAATTTATCAATTTTGAGTACAGATTAATGAATGAAATTTAAAAAAGAAAATCAACGAACACATGGTGTTAAGAATAGAGATCGATGAAGAAAAGAATCCCTGCAAGTTTTTTTTGAAAAACAGTGAAAACCAAGACTAATGATAATGAAGAGGATGAAATACTTGGGGCACAGGGCTATGCGAAGAACGGCAAAATTTTTGAAAAGTTCTTTTCCGTTGAACGCTGCCTTCTGTAGCGTCTTACAAAAGACCTAAAAAGACCGAAACTTCTCCCAAAAGCTATTAGGCCAAACACACAACTAGAATCTTATAAGATCTTTTTAAATAATAGAGAAGCTAGAAGCTACCAACTTTTGTGTGCCAAACATGCTCGTAGTATATATGAGCAACATGTAAAAAGTAGCTCAATATACTTGAAACACATTATTTATGGAAAAATTTCAAATTTTTACAGGGCGTTTATAAGCTGATCAGTGCATATTTTTATTGACCTTTTATTTGTTTTTATTAAAATTATACATACAAACCAAGCATTTCAGCCCAGTTGGTTGTGAGGTTACCGCGCCTAGTAAGAGGTCTCGAGTTCGAAACCTTCTAGGCACATGAGGGTTCGAAACTCAATGGAGTAAGTTTCAGCCCTGATTACTCCAGAACCCCCAACCCCTCCCCCAGACACCCCCTGGAGTAAAAAATTAAAAAAAAACTATACATACAAATATCAAGTTCTTACTTTTCCTCATCATATACGAAGTATTACTTTGTGGTTTGATTTCTTTTAAAGCAAACGCTTATCACATTAACAATTTTAATCACGTAACAAATTATAGAAAATTTAACAAGAAAATATATATATCTCGTGCATCGCACGGGGATCATAATAGTTAAAGTAATACAAATAACAGTTAAAGTAATACAAATAACACGTATAGTTGACGGGCACTTTGTCACGGTGCGTCAAAATAAATTCAATACTAACACTTACACGTAGTATAGGTGAAGTAGAGTTCGTATCCACAGGGAAAGGAATAATTCTCTTTTTATGGAACTAGTAAATAAAGGGGGGGTTTTGATTGAGTGTTTTAATTAAATTAAACACGAAGATGAACGAGTTATATGTGATTTAATTCAAAGATAAAAAGGACTTGGCATTGCTACTTTCCACTTGTTGATATATTTCAGTCGATCATTGTTATATCTATAACTTATCTCCTCTCGAATACTCAATCGAGGAGTATATCCAATTCATCGAGGAAAGTTATTAACAACGACCGTTCATTAATATCCCTTACTATTAGTCAAGTATAGAACTACGCCATATACCGACTTGATAGTAGCATTTAATCTCTTAACTCCTTGATGAAATCAATTGAGATTGATAACCTCAACACAACGGTTTTGGTTTAACCAACAAAATTAATCCCTCTTAAGTTTACTAACCACGACCGTGCATTAATAAACCGAAGTTACTTACTTGTGAAACCATCAACGATTAACCATCGGTTCGTTGATCGTTTCTAGTAATAATTAATATGTGAAACAAAACTATTTGATCCTTTAAGTAATGTTCAAAATATTAATATGGAATATGAATAGGGATTAATTAATACTCAAGGAAGAATATTAAGGAAAATG